ACAGACCACTGTGATCCTTGAAATCAACTCACTGCAGTTGCAATTTCTTTCCTTTTGACCACAACCAAAGAGCTTTTCTGTTAATTTAAAGTACATACCTTATATTACTTGTATGTCCAAAGAAGAATATAGAACATAATTGTGTTATTCAGGTGTGCACTACTAAAATTGTGCAACACCATGTTTTCTAAAGGATAAAGAAACTGTAAATGGAGAATTGTATATACATCAGGTTATGGATTGCTGATGAGATATTTTTGAGTTATGCCAAACCTCCAGACTAAGGACTAGGTTTTTTTCTTTGATATATTTTTCAGTGTTTCTCACAAATTCATAGTAACCTTTGAATCCATCCATTTCCGTCCGCTTATCCGGGGCTGGGTCGTGGGGGCAGCAGCCTAAGCAGGGACTCCCAGCCTTCCTTCACCCCAGACACGTCCTCCAGCGCCTCCCCGAGGCGTTCCCAGGCCAGCCGAGAGACATAGTCCCTCCAGCGTGTCCTGGGTCTTCCCCGGGGCCTCCTCCCTTTGAATGTTTATGTTAATATAACATCTCTTTTTTATAGTACTTGTTTTTAGTCTGTGGAGCCTAATATTAGACTAAAGGGTCCACCATAGCCTCCTCTGCTAATGCAAACAAGCAGTTTGAGTTTTTTATATTATCTGTAACCAAGACCCTATGATTCAAACCATTCACAGTATTAAGTTTTCCTGGGGAAGACCCTGTACTACAGGATGATGTAAAAGTCCATTCAGAGGACTGTTCAACAATAAATACAATTTTATTAGAGTATGTAACCCTCGAAAGCTAATTTTGTAACCCCATGATTGTAATATTTCAAGCAAAAATATATAACTGATATAGTGTACAAAATGTTTCAACAATAATAGCATTAGTTGCTTGCTATATGCTTTCACTAGGTCAATCTAATTTTAAGACATTTTATCTATTTTGAGCTCTATTTGCATAACTATTTCAGATAGATTATTCATGTGTTAATCATATCATTCTTAAAAATTAATATTATGCATAGATATTCAGTTCATGTCACAAAGAAACTAGGAAAAGCATGTCTCTATAAAGGCCACAGAAAGACCTCATCCTTGCATTTTATATTTAGGCATGCATGAAGTAATGACTCATTTGCAAACATACTATGCTCAACTGTTGATATGGCTGTTCAGCATGTGATAAATTGTATTTATACTGGCGCTAGCCTAACCTCAATTATCAGAGTGATTCATTTGATATGCCAGTGCAATTTCCTGTGCCAAAGGCTGACTTGGGCAGAGTTAGAGGTTTCCAGTCTATACTTGGCTTTACAATGTTGAACAAATTTACATAAAAATGACAGATGTGCAGATGCTACTTTCACATATACTATCTCTGTTGTGAGTGTTACATGTTTTCCAACAGCCTCAAAGCAAAGCATTGAGGAGAATACAAACGAAAGTACTGAGTATCACGACCAGCACACTTTTGAAAGGTGCAATATATTGATTATACTCCTGTGATGGAAGGTTAAATCTGGTTTAAAATCTCATCTGAATGAGTGAAAGTGAAAAACTAATTTGTTAATGCAAAAGTTTGGAACAAGACTGCCCCTCCATTAACTCAACCTGGGTCTGAGCTATACCTTTAAAATAACAGGACATTTGCAGATTAAAAACAGCAGAAGAAGAACATGAGGGTTTGCCCTGTTTGACACCTTGGGGCTTTCAGTCTTCTGATCGTATCTATACTCCACAGGGATCAGACCCAGGCAATTTGCGGAGACATTGATTAGATGATTTAGAAACTTTTACCCTGATTAAAAGCACATGTGTGTCAGTCGACTGGAGATCAGTCACTATTTTAAATGCTGAACTTTTTTAACAGGGTCTGGTGTCCCCCACAAGTTTGAAGACAAAAATTTAAGACTTTACCCTTTATTTTTCAGAGTAAACCTAATGAATCCTTTCACCTCCAAGGTACAACATACAACCTTCGCCTGTTTATAGCAGAAGATTTCCAGCCCTTTGTGTAAAGCGCTTTGTGTCTTGAAGTTGGAAAAGCACTATATAAAAAGGTGACCTTTGACCTTTGATCATTAACCATTGTGTGATTCCTATTTGCCTTGTATCAGACGTGATCAGCGCTTCCTCCATAGACTTTGCATGTAGTGTTCATGCCCTAGGCGTCAAATGAAGTTGAAAAAATTGCGACATTTGCAGCGCAGTCTGAACGTAGCATGTAATTGTATAGCACTTGTGTAGCACTTGTAATTGTATATAATGTAATGTAAAAATAAATATTGTTCTGAGTTGGTTTGAACCTAAAACGACGCTCTCATCCCTCCTTAGCTAAAGTGGTCCTAGAGCCTAAGCCTGCCAGCTTTGGAAGCTACAGTTCAATCAATCAAAATTATTCAACCCCCACTGCAATTAGGTTTAATTGGTAAAATGTACAAACTAGCAGCTGTTTACAAAAAGAAATCAAACAAGAACAATTTAAATAACTCAACACAACTAATATTATAAGTGGTTTCTCCAAATTCAACACAAAATGCTACTTTTAATGACTACTGCAGTCTTAAAATTATTCAGCTCCTTCATGACAAGCATCTTTAATACTTAGTAGAGTACCCTTTTGCTGTTATGACCTGCTGCAAATGTGATGCATAGCCAGACACCAGATTCTGGCAGCGTTCCTGAGGAATCTTAGCCCATTCCTCATGGGCAAAGGCCTCCAGTCTTGGAGGAGAAGCGGGACACATATGTCTGACTTCTCTTCCTGGAGTTTAGCTCGGCATTCAATACCATCATACCACAGACCCTGATAAACAAACTGCAATTGCTTGGACTCCAGCCATCACTCTGCAACTGGGTGCTGGGCTTTCTTACTAACAGGGAGACTGTTAGGATTAATGGCTGCTTCTCCTCACCAACCACTCTCAACACCGGTTCCCCCCAAGGCTGTGTCCTGAGCCCCCTGCTGTATACTCCGCTAACATATGACTGTTTGGCTTCTCACCCGACCTGTCAGATTGTTAAATTTGCAGATGACACTGCTGTTGTGGGTTTAATCTCGGAAAACAACGAGCAGGCATACAGACAGGAGGTACAGCTGCTGGAGACCTGGTGCAGAGAGAACAACCTCTGTCTGAACCTTTCAAAAACAAAGGAGTTAATAGTGGATTTTAGGAGGAACAGCTGTTCACTGTCGCCTCTCTACATCATGGGCACAGAAGTTGAAAGGGTGTCCTGCTGGAAATACCTGGGTCTGCACATCACCGACAGCCTAACTTGGTCCACTAATGCAGCGAGCATTGTTAAGAAGGCCCAGCAGCGTCTGTATTTTTTGAGGAGACTCAAGGCTGCTGGACTAGGCCTCCCTGCTCTCATGTCTTTTTATCGATGTGGAGTGGAAAGTGTGTTGACCCAGCCCATCACAGTGTGGTACGGCCACTGCTCAGCCCAGGACAGGAAAGCTCTACAGCGTGTGGTCAGAGCAGCAGAGAAGATCACTGGATGTGACTACACACCCATCAGTGAAATTTATGAGAAGCATTGCAGAAGATGGGCCTCCGGGATCATGGGGGACCCCTCGCACCCCTCCCACCACCTGTTTGTTCCTCTGCCCTCTGGGAGGAGACTGAGGAGCATGAAAGCTAGAACTTCTCGGCTGAAGTTCAGCTTCTTTCCTGAGGCTGTCAGACTTGTGAACAGTGCACACTGACTTCCTGTTTGGGTTGCCTCTCTCTCTATCTTGCCACGTTTTACTTCTTGTTCACTGGACTGCTAAATGTTGTTGTTTTAAATGTATTTATTTTTTAACATTGCTTATTTATTATTGTTTTTATCTCTTTCTGGATCACTGGGCCTCGGGGAGCACATTTCGTTCTCTCATGTGTTTCTCTCGCATGTTTGAATGACAAATAAAGAACCTTGAACCTTGAACCTTGATTGCCGTTTTTTCATTACCAAAATGCCTTATAACCATTGCACAGAGTGACTGACCATTGGCTCAGCATTTAAAATTACCCGTGTCTTGTGTGTGTGTATAATGTATTGTGTAAATTCTTTAGTATGCTGTAGACCCCAGAGTTCACAAACAGTAGTTATTTGGACCTGGGTGAAAAACAAAAGGTCATACTCTTCAATGTCATGTTCTTTCATAAAGTTTTTTTTAAATTTTTTTATTTGAATTAGCAAAATGACACAATACAAAAAAAACAAAAAACAAACAAAACAAACAAAAAACAAAAAAACTTACTGAAACATTACTGAAAAATAGGCGGTCAGAAATGATATCGCTGAAATATTCATTGAGATCACAAGTGCATGTCATCACAGTGTTATTTAGTGAGCAACAGTCTCCAGCACTTTCATACTGGCATTTTATCAATGCCAATGAAACAGTTCATGACAACAAGCAATTTTAGCTGAAGATCCAAATCTGGAACTGAATACAAAATAGAATCTCTAATAAGAGGAAACAAGACACTTAAAAAAAAAAAAAACAGTTAAGATGCTGTCATCAGAGGTGAGTAGTAGTCACATTTATTTGAGTAGTACGTACTCTTATTTGAGTGAATGGCTTGGTTACACTCTGACTATTGTGAGTATGTCTTTAAATGACAAAAGCTTCATGTTGACAGTATTAAATTTGAACCTAAGTTGCGTTTCTTACACCTTACCTTCAGATATGATGTTTTAAAAGTTTTTAATTGTGATTTTTTTGAAATTCCAGAATGAGCAGTATAAAATGTTTTGTCTAAATCATAATGTCATCATTAGGATGTTATGTCCAACCCACGTTATTATTATTGTAAAGCTAAAAAAAGCCCTACTTTTTATTTAAAATAACTACTCTGTTTAGAGTTCTAGAGAGGCAAAAACAGTTGGAACTACTTCTATATACAAGCAGAATTTTGCATTCAAATCAGAAAGAAAAGATTGCTTCTGTTCCAAAAATATATGCTTACAAAAAATACTAACAAATAAAAAAAAATATATATATTTTTTTTGACAGCTGTAGCATGAAATGGGGTGAGAGAGGGTAGACATGCTTTAAACCACTACACCATCAGCGAACACAGCTACTATGTTTTTGATTATATACTTTTCTTTTATTCCTATCATTAAAAATGAACAAAACAATCAGCATCTGTGTATGTATACAACACATAATCCCCTGCGCTATCATAGGATTCCTTCTCTCACATGTCGTCAGCGTGAGGTTGCAGTCTGGTGGGGCGATGTGGGTCCAGAGTTACAGTGGCTATGTGGCCGGTGATGGGGTCCACCTGGAAATGACCTTCTTCGCCTGTGGCTGTTCAGTGTGAGAGGCTCTAGGTGGCGCTCATCATTGTTGTGCATGTTGAGTTTTTCCATCAAAGAGTTGACGTGGTCCAGTGCCTCGTCTCCAGGGAAACGACGACGTGGTAGAACAGATTCATCTTCATTGGTGTATTGTGGGTTAGTGATGTGCAACACACGAGATGCCTGCAGATTCTGGAGGGACCGTGACTGGACTGTGAGAGAGGGTTGAGAAGATAACTTATCACTTAATAATAATATTACATTTAGCTTGAGGTTGAACCACGAGTCGAGCCTGGAACTTTCTTGCTATGATTCCAGAGTGCTAGGCAATCAGCCATCCTGCTGCTGGTGTCAAAAGTTTATTCAGCGTGTATACTTTGATTTCTTCTCATTCTATATGAAGATATAATATCAACATCGTGAATTTAACTATCAAAAATACCTTCTGTCAATCTTTACTAAAATTTAGATTTGATTGTGAAGGCTCAATAACACATTTATTTTGTTCTTGGAAATGCATAAAACTGAATAGAAAGCAGTTTTACATGGTGCTGCTTTAGCCTTTGCATTCTTTCTATTCTTTGCACAAAATTCTACAGCAAATATGATCAAATTTCTTTCATGTTTACGCTCTGCAGCCTTGGGTTTAGCCGTAAACAACTGTTGATAAATCAGGGACTGTAAATATTGCTTTGAACCCACTCAGGTGAAGTGTTGCAGTGATAGCTTTTCAAAGTTGTCAGAAACCTTATGGTAACAAATGGTGGCTGTGCTTGCCTGTAATCCTTCCAATGTCTTCTAAAAAATGAAAATCTCAGGGAACGCATTGATACCCCTGCTCTGAAACAATCATTTTGGGTAATTTATCAAAAGGCTTCGGACGGGATCCCTGTAATGAAAATATATTGCCTCAGTGTGTTGCTCAAATCTTCAAAGTTTGAAAATGAAATACAAGTGGAGGCAAGTTAGGAAGCACGGCAGGTGAAGGGATTCTGCAGTGGACGAATAAAGACGGCATTTCTAACAAGTCTCTCAGCCGTGACTGAGAGGGGGCAGATTAGCACTGGCAGGTGGGTGCACAAAGAAACCCAACCAAGGTTATTTGGACTTACTTCTGACTGGACTGAAGTCTCCTTGTGTGACCTTGGTGGAGGAAAACGGCTTGAGGCTAGGGAACAGTATTAGAGAGAAGGACAGCACGAGCACCTACAAAAATGCATAAGGACAGAGGAAAGGAATTGTCAAGAATAAAAGAGAAATACACCCACAATGCAGAGAAGTTGTGGTTTTTCACATTTACAAGATCTTGGCCCAAGATCTTGGTCAGGAGTAAGTGAGAATTACTGTATACTGTATGTAAGCTGACACCAGAGTAAGAGCCTTTCAGAGACGTGGTGAATGTGACTGTGAAAATTACATAGATCTCATTAGGGATGGGCATTCGATGAAATTTTCTTAATCGATCGTCGGAAGAATTAACGATCGATTATCGATTAATCATTAACGTTTTTATATTAAAATGATCATCATTATTATTACTATCTTGCACTACTAATCTGCATAAATAAATTCAACTTTACGACATATAAACCGTAACGTCTTTAGAGCCACATCAATCCGTTTGACATTATAATGTGTTTAATTCAGTTTTGCGCATCTCTCACAGAAACTAAACTTAAAACCGCATCGCTAATTTGCATAAACTGAGCGAAGATAAAACTACAGCTCTTGTGTCGCTGATGCGGTCAACTTCTGTTGGATTAAAAGACATGATTCAGTGGAATACAGGTTAGTGTGACCAGATTTGCGTTTGTCAAAACCAAGACACCGTACGGGGGGCGGGACGTGGGGACTCGTCATCGACATTGCGCGACTCTCACCTGGTAAAGCTTTTTCCCACTGGACACCGAAACATATGTTCCTGCTTTGTTCACTGTGCACATGGACTCACACTTGTCCCTAACGCAACGGAAAGCGTGGAATTTCTTGTACAAATTATCGTTAAATACACATTTGTGCTTCGGTACGCTGCAGACTGACCGACTGCTTGTGTCTCACTCCTTCTGAGTGCAGAGAGCTACATGTACGGACCCCTGTTTGGTCACGCTACGCACAGCAACCTACATTCGGTTTGTCGATTAAAATTAACGTAACCGATGAAATTCTTAATGATCAATTATCGATTAATCGATTAATCATGCCCATCCCTAGATCTCATACTGTGTCAGGGGCCTGTGTGCTTGGCAAAAAACAAAAACATGGGCTAATATGAGTTGTGCAATTGTCCAGTGTTACCTGCATAAGTTGGGTCAGATTTTGGCAGTAACCAGAACTCCAAATACAGGAGAAAGCATTGAGTTAAAATATGTCTTGAGATGCCCAGGCAGTTTCATTAAAAGGCTACAAATCGCTTGCATTTTTAGGGCTATCTAAACAGTCTTTTATCATGTAGATGGTAGATGTAATAATCATTCTCCTGCAGTATGGGAAAGGCTCTGTTGAGATGAAGATTATTCATGAAGTTCTACAATAACTAAAGATATATTCAAAGCCAAATGAAGGCCCAGCCAAAATATGTTTTGATCACTTTTTGAGTTGAGCTTTAGTGTTTGGCTATTTTTGGCATTATCTATTATTTTACACACACAGTCACACCACAGTCAGGGCACCTTACCAAAACACATGTTCCTGCCTGGGCTGGCTTGTTCGATGTATTCATGACCAGTGCCTGCAGCCTACGCAGCTGTTCCATCAGTGATCTGTTGAGAGTATGTGTCAATGAAAGAGCATCAGCAGAATAATATGGAAGTCCAAGCTTGGAACGGGAGGAGGAAAATGGGCCTGTGGTTATTGTAATAAACACAGACTTCAAATAAAAGGTTTAGCATAAATATGGCTTTAGTCACTAGAAGAAGGTGAAAGACTTACACGTTGCATTTTTCAAGTTGGGAAACTTTTCGCTGCAGCTCCTGGTTATGTGCATTGCAGGCAGCCATTCTGAAAAACATTATATTAATAAACAAAAAGCACATGCCAAGTAACAGGACAAAATAATATGACCAACATGAGAGCCTAACTCTACCTTGTGTTTTTAGTACTACTTTACTCATTACTCATTTTTTTTTTGGAAGTAGCAACTTCTAATGTACTTCACATTTTTCTTCTGCTCAGTTAAAAGCCTAGACTTGTCATTTCATACATGCAATTTCTTTAAAATGTTCCATATTTAATTTCCTCTGGGCAACTGAGAGACACCAAGATGAATTTTACATTTCCAAAAGTTATCAGTGAAAAAATAATTTAATTAAAATAGCTTTTAAAATTCTCCTGTCAAATTGCATTAGCATATTACCCTGCAGTAGTTATGAAAGATCGAGTGATATGATGATGTGTGGTCCACCCGTGCATCCTGATCTGTTTTTGGCCTTTAAGATAAATATAGGCGAGTGATGACACAGTTGGAAAGACATGTGGAGCCAGTTTCATTCCAGGGAAGCACATTAGCATAGCCCATGGCCCTTCCACACTCCTCAAGGTGACTTTTAATTACACGTGATGTACAAATTTACAATCTGATAATGCCTTGAAAATGATTTACTAAGAGTACAGTACCACTCAAGGCATTCACTGATATATCAGGCAGATAGTTTTTTTCTATTTCTAATGAGAGAGACCGAGAGTACTACTACAGAGAGTACTAGTACTACTGGGTGATTGTAGTACTAGTATTAGTAGTACAACAGCAGCTGTAGTTCAATTATCAATGACATTATTGATTATGTCTGCAGAACTGCAATCCCTAAACTCTGTATATCTTTAATTACTCCAAAAGCATGTCAAAATGATCTATTGCTCATGAGCCTGTTTGCCAGTGAGAAGTTTACCCCTCACCTGCTCTCCAGTCCATCTACGTACTCCTTCTTCTTCTTGCGGCTCTCCTGTGCAGACTGCTTATTACGTATTTTTCTGCGTATTTTCTTCAGTATTCTTTCCTCATACTAAAAAAGAAAATATTTGATTTCCTGTCACTGGAGGAATAGCTTTTGTCCTTGTTTCACGAGTGGCTGTGAAGCATGTTTACCTTTGTGAGTGGTAGTTGGCTGGGCAGAGTCACCCCCTCCTTTGCAAGCAGTTTCCTTTCATCTTCATTGAGAACCAACTCCTGAATGGACTGTTGCGAGGGCTGCGGGGGCTATTGGAATGTAATATGAATACCAGTATTAAAAACATCATCGTATTAATTGAATTTTCCCTCAGCGCACTCCGCTATCCACTTCTCCCTGCAGCCTTATGCACCAACTACCAGAACACCTTCATCGCTTTTCATGGCTACTTCAAAGCAATTTCAGCACCAGGACATGAGCTACGCTACATTGGCCACTCTTGCCTCTCCTTATTAAATGGAGAGGCAGAGATTTGATCAATTCTTGAACTGGGCTATAACTCATTAATTTACCGATTGTCCACATACAAACATGTTACGCTGTTTTTTATTAGAGTAGCTGAGAAAATGAGATTCACGTTTACTCTAACTTGAGAAATCCCTACACAGTAAAATGCCAATTAATATTATCATAATTTTTCATTTTGTGTAGTTTAGTTTCTCAGTTCTATGCAGATGCTATAATTCTTCTCATAGCCTGGCAACAGGGACAGAATTGCCTGGACTTATTTTTTCCAAACTCTACCTCTGGCTCTTCTGAAGACATTAGCAATGTTCATATACCAGCCAAACAGGTGATTGAGTTAAACGCATAATCTTCCCATTTCAAATTTGCTTCCATGCAGTATTTTCCTAATGTTTGGATGTAAAAGTGATTATCCGCTCAAACGCTTAAATGAACTATTAAATGTATGTAAAGATGGTGAAAAGTCAAGTTGTTTACATCTCGTGCTTTTTCTAATGATTGCATGGCTGTTTAAATTTTATAGATGGTAGGAAACAAAAACTATAACAACTTTCTACAATGCTTGTGTGTACTTCCTTACTGAACAAAGGTACTAGGGAGGGCTACTGCACACTCAATCCTCCAAATCACAATTATAAAAATAAGTATTCCATTTGCATTTTCAAAAGACCTCATTCCGTCGTGAGTGTTTCAAGAGCTTGCTGCCACCTGCATTTCCATGAGCAAAAAATTACGCCTCAAGAGTCAAAGTATCTTTTATCACCTGCATCACTGTTGCTGCTGCACATTATTGCACAGGTGGAGTACTCACTGGATCCGGAGTGCCTGATAGCAGTAGATCCTTGACAGTGAGAGCAGTGCCAGAGGATACCTGGCCTCTGTTGACATCAGAAGGATATTGTGTAATTCCTGGTCCTCCATTTGGGAAACTCTGGTCCCATACATCTGTACACACACACACATAATACAGTAAATGGGCTTTCATACATGTCAAAAACATGCCACAGTTCTGGTATAATTACGCTCCAACAAGTGCACTTTTGTAGTCCTGTTCCCTCTGTTTGCATTGACAGTGATTTTTGTCAAGTCTTGACGGCTGCTGTGAATTACTCTATTTATAAACACATTATTGTATGGTAGTAGCTGAGTTTACTTTTAATAGCATCTATGTATATTTCCCTGTGTTTCTGTGGGTGCATCTTTTACTATGGTATGCATTTGTCCTTTTATTTTGAAATAATAGGCTTATGTAGGCCCGTCGACAGAAATTTGGGGGCCAGGGGTAAGGAGGCACACATATGGGCCCCCCTGAAATATAAATTAATATCCTGAGCTTCCAACTCTAGTCCTTAAGACTCAGGCGTATACTTGAGTACCAGTATGGATGCATCTTTCACAGGCATGCATTTGCCAGTTTCGTAAACATCTGTTGCTTAATGTAATCACGATCAGCCATCTGTTGACACATGTAATTTGCTCATACAATCAAGGTGACTTACTGACTATATTAGGGATGCTTGCTTCCAGGGCTTCTCTGGTATGTATCCCATGACTGTAATATTGTGTTTCTCCACCAGGGGGACTCTCAGGTCTCAGAGGACTGTCCATGTGGTCTGAATGCGGATCTTCGCTGATGCCACTGTCACTGTGGGAGGGCGACCAGAGAGGAGAGCAGCATCTGACAGAGTCAGATCCACTGAGAAGAGCAGTGAGGAAGTCTTCATTGGCCTGGTCAGAAGGTTGTAGCAGCTGAGAGGTGAAAAGTGTATTCATGTGACCTTTAAATGTCAGTTACAGATGAGTATTGGGGCACTGCTACATACTTTTGGACTCATTGAATAAAGTTTTATAAATAGTGGTTTGTTTCCAAGAGACCACCTAACACTTTTCTGTCCTGGTTTCAGATGCACCACTCTACTGAAAGAGCGCTATTAAAAGTGACATCATGATTTGACTGGTAAATGTTCTTTGTTGGTCCTGTTAGATCTGATATAACTGATTAATTGACTGATTTATTGTCACTGAATGAGAGAAACAAACAATGAAATTTTAAGTAGCAACTCCCTCTGATGTACTTGGGCCACTCTTGTTTTTGTTGTACCTTGCAAACATGACTAAACCTTGCAGTTTAGTGGTGTTTCTTATGACCTGCTGTTGTACTGCTCTGTTAAGAATTAATTTCTTGCAACTGCTGTAGCAGCCCATCATTCATCTCTCCCACCAAGGAGTTGGTTCCCTTCCAAGTAGACTGAAGTTTATATATATATATATATATATATATATATATATATATATATATATATATATATATATATATATATATATATATATATATATATATATACACATATATAAAGTAAATATAGTAGGACTACAACTCACTGTAGTATTAAAAACTGCACCAGAAGCTCAAAATTGTTAATTGTTAATTGAGCATCCACATTAGATCATAATTGCCTCAGAGAATAATAGTCAAAATAAAGACCACATGTTGTGTCACTCACATTTGGGTCCTGCATGTGCCAACTATGGTGGTTTCCATGGTGACTGGTTTCTTCATGACGTAGGATGCCATTGTTCTGGTCAAAGAGCCAGTCGAGCAGCTCAATACCATAACAACCCTGAAATAAGAAGGGTACACCTGTCAGCAGATTGCACATGAGAATTTTGTTAGCCTACTTCCCATGTAACCTACCTAAAGCAAAATAAATTCACTAACTCTGTAATTCACAGACATTTGAGAAAATGAATGTGATTCTTGTTTGACTGTTCACATTTCAGTTTGCTCTCAGGATATTTAGATTCTGCTCACAGTACACATTTTAAGCATGTTCAGCCATGATAACATTTAACATATGCTATGTCTGTCAGACTAAAGTTATTTTTTAAAAATGTTCACTAATGGTGTTAGGTTTAACTAGTTATTGCAGTAGTGATTAATACAAATTATTATTAGCTGTGAGAATATAACAAGTATAACCGGAGCCACTGTAATCTGTAAATTGTCCAGTTTAGTACTATCCAATATATGTCAATATATGTGTTTGGCTAACAGTGCTAATGTTCTCTTGGCTAAAGACAATATGTATGGTCAAGGGTTAGACTCTGCTTGCCTTTGCTCGATTTTGTTCTGACCCATATATGTATATTTATATCAGTACCATAAAAAGTTTAATTTACCTGATATGGGTTGGGGTCCATTATTTTGTCTAAGTCAGTGACAATCAAAAACAGCTTTAGCAGTCCAGTCAAAATATCCAATTTACTTTGTTCAGGACGAGCGTGGTGTCTATCTTCAAGCTCTTCTCCAAAGGGTCCAAAGTTTAAACTCCAACGCAACACACCCAGCTGAATAGTCTCTATTGGCTAAGAGACACAATCTGATCTGACAAATAGCAACTCTTTCTGCAAATAAGGAACATTGCGTCTCTAGACTCAATATCAGAAAGTTCAAAGTCTACAAGTGTCCTCTCTTTTGTTTTGTTTGTTTAGTGATAAATAGCTTTCAACTTTGGCCTATATATTTTTGAGTTACCCGACTTTTTACTGAATAGTAGAAAAAATTATGTAGGATCAAGAGAATGTGATGATGATGATGATAGTATGACTAATTATGGTGTGGATTTTTAAAATCTGTGGTCTACAGTAGATTCAAAACATTCCTTTCTTGAAATCTGTCCAAAGTGAGGACAGTTGGTTCCAGACCCTTCTGCATTGGAATAGAAAGTAAGAAGGACTGGCTGGTCAGCCATGTTTAAGTCAGATCCTTATTCCACCATGAAGGCACTGTGCTCTTTACTCGTACAGACATTCACAAGCTCTTCATAAAATGATATGTTGGGTTCAGGTAGACTCAAAATCTGTGTTATATTAAAGTAATTACAAAAAACAACAAATACAGGAACATATATTTTGTGTGTGATAGTTCTGACAGCATGATCCACCAAACTATAGCACATTCATACCTTCTTTTCCAAATTATTGACACTGAAGCAATAATTATAACGTTTTCCAGTAGGTATTAAGTTTTGTGTGATGTTTGGCATGATGTCACTGACAGTAATGGAGTAATGCTTTTTCAGAGGGTACACAACATAGGCAACACAAGTTCATTTGTATAGCAGCAGTGCTTTCCAGAAGAAGAAAGACAGTACAAACAAATGAAAACATAAATAATCAACATAGAATTCATGTTAAAAGAGAAGAATACATAATAAAAACCTTCAGTCATATGCACATCTGAAAAGATCAATTTTAAGCCTGGATTTAAACATTGTCAGAGTAGAGGAACATCAAGCAATCTATATTGTTTTGAATAGTTATCTTCAGGGGACATCAACAACATTGTATTGGGTAGTGAAAATGTTGCTTGTATTCATTGCCACATTAGAAAGGACATTTCAGTAGACTGGTATCAGCAGCACACTTTGATGGCTGTGATCCTCTGGCTGTCTGCTGAGTCTTGCATTGTCCCAGTGCAACTGGCTTTCTATTTCATTGCTGGAGCATTACGTAATGAGCACTGGCGATTATCATCAGATAGAGGCTGGTTACAAAGGGCACAGTTTGTAAAAGACTCCATGAGAATGTTAAGAAAGCTTTGAATGAAATTGGTGCTCTTTGTTTATACCAAAAAAAAATCCTATTCTGGCCTTGTCTGTAAAGGAGATGTTTGTTTAAACACTGTCACTTAAAGAAGTGTAAATGATGATGTTCTAAGGTGGCTGGAGCACTGAATCATAGTGTAGATTCAGTTGAGTGAAATAAAGAATCATATGAGAATAAAAATTAGAAACATGCCCTGTACATCTGTCATACAAACACTGCTGTTCACTTGAATGTGTTTGAACTGTTATGGTCTTGATACATTTTTTTATTGTTTAATTTTATCACTCTTACTTACTTCTCCTGGCAGTATTTAGTGTTCATCTACATAGTGTTACATAAATGGTTAAATAATTACAATGTGAATAGTGAACCTGGCTACTCAAGTGTTTTTTACACATACTATATTAATTTTGTCTCCTCTGTATGTGCCAAAAACATTTAGTCTCCCTGTAATTCTAAAGCTTAATGATGATGGGCCATTTTATTAAATATACTCCCTTTTGCAAGGAAAACAACATCTCAGCACTCAGTCACTTAACTCTACCACTTGTTGTTCTTTTTCCTTTTGGAAAATTTTGAGGTTTCAAATGTATAAGTGGAAAGATGGTGCACACAACATGTGCTGTCCTCTAACTAATCAGTTATCTTTGTTAGACAGAGTCTCAGCTGCTAAAGGGTTGGACCTTTGTTAATGATGCATTGTTTCACATTTCATCTAACTCTGTCCTATTAGTTTTGCATTTTTCTTGGCAAAGATAATTATCATTTCAAATTAACAAGTTATCTTTAATGTATTGTCCACTATCTGGTGAGTGCCAGATAGTGGACAGTACATTTTTTTAATGAACAGTATTCCAGTATTATTTGGTGAAAAAAGTATTTCAAACCAGCCAGTTGAAACTGTTGTGTGCTTACTTGTACTATGGGCCACTGCAACCTTTTCATGATATATTCATAAGCAGGGTTTATGGGCGATTAGTTGCAATGTGTACACAAGTACAGCTGATTGTTACATAGTATGGATTTGACATCTGTGAAAATACTGAATTTAAGGTTGCTATTAGCTATAGAATTCAAGCCACAAATGCCTAATTGTTAATACTAATTATGGTTCTTGTCTCATTTCTTTGTTGAGTGAGGTTGAGGTGATCAAGTTTGGATTCTAAAAAATGTACTTTATCTTTTTGCGCGCTCGTGTCTATCCTCCAATGCCATCAGTATAATAAGCTTCTATAGACATGTGAACTTTTCTATGGGGTAGATTGATTCAAAGCTAGAAATGCAATAAATGCCAGCAGCATACTTGCACATGGAGGGCTATAGCACTATTGTCCTGGGAGACCACTAAGGTTATAGAGCTGACAAGTGTGAAATATTCATTTAAAAGTGTCTGAAGGATGAAGTGCTGTTTCAGTGAAACAATCTCTTTTTTTTTTTTTTTAATTTCAGATGAAATTGCATTGTTAAATTTAACTTGGCATTCATACTTGTGCTATTGGCAGTGTACGGTAGTTTTTGCCTATGTCTAATACTACTGCTAACTTCTTCGGTATAGCAACTCCTACTTCAGATAAATACTTTGACTACTAGTACCAGTAGTGGCTCTTTCTACAGTTACCACTATCACCCTTTTGTATCATTTTTAATGACTTCACCTTAATTAATCTTAATAAAACATGAAATATGATTTAATTCACAACCAATGAATAGTTTATTGAGAGTAATTCAGACTTAGGGGTGTTAATTTGCAACTTCTGACACTAACCTGTTAATGAAAAAGTTACTAAGTCTGAATCATTCTTAATAAACTAAGGAACAGTAAATGTAAAAACATAAAACATGACTTTGTAGACTGTACTCTGTGACTATACTTTTTACATATTATTTCCATATCTTTCACATGGCAGGGCAGATATCTATGATTTGGGGATTAAGAAGGATTCATTTCCCATGAGGATGTTTTGCTAACACTGAAAGGAATATTAGGCGGCAGTTAGTGCAGGAAAACTATGCTAATGAGGTTCAGTAGATGAAACCAAAGTGAGATGCCAATCATTACACTAAATGTCACCATGACAACAACAGTACACTGCTGCTGACCCTGTGGTACCATGCATAAACATGAGAGCGTCCATTTTCTATACTCCTGGTACCGCTTTGGAATTTTGTGTAATTTAAAAATATTTCTGGATTTGGATTGCAACGTTTTTTAAAAAGACTTATCCAAGACCTACTTTATTAATATTTGTTAATTAAACCAAATACATTTTGTCCATGGTGGAAAATACTTTCAGTTCTGTTTTAGATTTAGCTTATCTAAACAATTGACCTCATCAAGAGTGCATCCGCTGTATGTCCAGGCAGGATAAAAATGTCAAAAATGTTCTCCTGTTTGAAACCTCCGAGGTTGCCCTTGCTGCAACTGCCTGTGCATGGAAAATACTTCTCAGGTCTGTCTCTTCCATTCTATTAGCATACCTTTTTGGCTATGTGCGCTCATTAGCATTTACGCTCTTGATGTTAAGTTAAGGTCAACATCAAGACTGTGCACAGAGCCCAAATCTGAGGTCTGGTGCTTGGGGCAGCTCCAAATTAATTCTGTTGTTCCAGGTTTGATGCTAATACTGTTTGCTGTTTGCGTCAAAGAAAATATGAAACTTGTGGTACACTGCAGGAGAGTGATGAATTAAGCATCAAGTTTATGAGTAGATTAGTCATGAGTTGAGTGATTGATTGACATACATCCAAAAATTCAAATGTTATTGTTTGAATAGTTTGACTGCTCTCATTTAAAGAAAAAATATGACAATTAATTTATTTTAACAGAAAATGCATGTTATTGGACATGAGACACATGCATGAAAACATGATGGATAGCCATGGACTAATTTCCATCTGGGGTCCAGCTTTTGCTGTCACAAACAATGTCACTTACACACCAGTGCATCACTTGGGGCAAGGCAGGTGAAGTCCCTACGGACACGTCAACATCTGCACTGATACAAACAGGCACTAACCACTGAGCCACTGTCCTTATTTAGTTTTGTACTTTAATTTAGAATTGGACGTTATGTGTGTATGTGTGAGTGTGTGTGTGTTAAGTATTATATATTCTAAAGTATGTGTAAAAGTGTTAAGTATTATTTTATAGCAGAACTTGGCAATCTGTTTCGTCAATCTGTATTTAGCCATCAACTTTTTCATGTTTGTTTTCAGTTTTACTGTCAAGGTCAGTGATTATTGACCTGATTGACAATGGTTCTCTCCAACAATAGTTTTATAAAATATACAGTGCATAAATATGTATAGAGTCATTACAGACAAAGATATTTTTTTTGTCTCAAGGTTGCATTACAAAAACAATATGCCTATGGAGTGTTGTTGAAAACATCATGTAATCGTAAAGACGAAAAGACTGGATGTCAAACACAAGTGAAGTTTATTTATCTGAACACTCTCACTATAAGAAGATGAGGTGGGCCAGACAATAAGAACAGCTCTGGAAGTGTCCTTGGTACAGTAGTGCAATTTCTCTACCATGGAAGACGCAATACGCTTTTTAAATTAGAAATTTTTTTATTTTTTTAGCAGAGTCATGGTCAGTTTACATGATGTACATATAAAATGGTCTTTTTACCAGAAGTCAGTTACTTACACATTGACAGTAGCATTCTGATTATTCATAATGAATCCGTGTATCATTCGTTCATTCAATGCAAGCTAAAGAAAAATTGACATAGAATGTTTATTAAATGTAAAAAGCAGATCATCAAAAG